GTCAACAACTATAGGGGTTTAAATAATGGTAACTCACGTTTAAAGGCAAAGTTTTGTATCGTGAATACGGCTTGGGGACAGGTGGGCACCTGGGCTACTGTGGTACGACTTATCCTTGTCAGTGGCCATCATAACGTCTGCAAAGTGATTCGGTGGACTTGCAAAAATTCAAGAGGACGTCTAGAGGGAGAGGTAAGGGAAACTTGACTGGGCTTGATAATATATGTATAGCAACGTGTTCATAGACCTTGACAACACCAGGACCATGTGGTGTCGCCGTGCCTTAGAGAAGCAGCACCCCCGAGTTGGAGTGGGTGTAATTCAGTTGAACAAAGGGAAAGGGAAATTGTTGCACATGGGCCAAGCCATGGAGGGCCTGGAGTGGGTCGTGTTGACATCTAAAAGGCCGCAAGGTGTGTAAGCGCAAGACACTTGAATGTGCAATTCTGATGGGATCGAGCATATGAATCTTATGCGACAATGTGTCATATAGATTATGGTTTGGCTATGAAATCTATGTATATTGCCTATTCTATTCCCTAAGCTTCTCTGTTGGTAAGTGGTTCACATTACTTGGATCAATTTTGGATGGGATTTACTCATATGACACCAATGTTTTATCTACCCATGGTGCGCATAAAGCTTGATAACACTATCTTAAACTCTTCGCTGCACCATTTTTACATTTACTATTTGTTAAAATTGTAAGTACCCCATCATATGCAATGTTTACTTCACTCTCATGGCGATGATAAAGTGTTTACATTCCGAAAACATATTCACCAGCACATGGGTAGTTTATGCCCGGTCACTTGGCTGTGTAGCGCCCGAACATCGAGCCAAAAATGGCTGGGGCTCTGAGCCCACGTTGTGCCTGATTTTACGAAGAGCTAGCACCGAACTCCCAAACTCCATTCCTCGATATCACCTATAAGTAGCATATAGAAGCAGCTTCGTGCCGTTATCGAGGTCGTAGACCCGCATTTGTGTTACTTACCCGATTTGGATGCAGAATTGTATTGACTCTGGGGCTCGCAAGACTTTGCCAAAAATTACCCCAGACGAGTCAATGCCCCCTTTTCCGATACCCAAACCCTACTACTGTCATAAAGTGTCAAAGTTAAGACTAAGGAACGCTGTAAAATATATAAAACAGCTCCTATCCCCTCGAATTACATATAATAGTGCAATATCTCAGGTTTTTGTACCATTGTAACCTTGGGGTCCAATAGCACGCAAAATCGAATTGATATTTCTTTTCAGGCTTTCTGGGATCCCACGTGGTACCTGTGAGGGTTGCGCGTGCGCACCTCACATACTCGGCGCAGCCTGCGGCTGTGCCTGGCTTACATCACTCGCATATACTCTCGTTTCTTTTCCCTTTCCTTGTCACTCGTCATTATTTCATATTCTCGCCCCCCCTCATCTATATAAACCACTCGTTCTCATGTATTTACAGTAACCTTTCTCGAATCCGAGTCGTTCGTCAAGTCATTCCGCTCACCTTCATAAGCCTCGACACCGCCGAATCCCTCTCGTTCGACCTCGAGGTCCCTACTCTACGGGGCCGGAAAATCTCCGGAGCAATAACTGACTCGTAAAAGTCAGCGAGCGTTTCGGAGCCACACACCGGAGATCCGGAACACTCCCGATCATTGTCTATTCCTCCCAGGTGTGCTCACGAGTGATTAAAGATGATCCAGAGCACTCACGAGGACCCAAGTGAATCAAGTTCAATCAAATTTGTTTCTTGTTATTCTTATGAGCCAACCAAGGGATATGTCTATGGGTACGAGAGCTATTTATTTGTGTATGTATTTACATTGTACGTCAAGTAACTCCAAGACAAGGTAAGCTCAATGTATGACAACAGCACCGTTAGTATCAGACACCAGCCCCGATCACCCTACGTTTACTTCATGTATATACATTTAATATTATGCTGTCTTTACATACACCGTATCTATACACGTGTGACCCATATAGACCTGGATAATACAGGAATATGATGGAATCCAACGTTCAGTGGAGTACTCGGGAGGCATGGTGTCGATTTATGAACACTCACGAGTGTTAGCTGTGTGTCCGGGGCGCCCTATGTGCCTTGTGAGTGCTTGTGAGCAGGAAGGGGGGGGGGGGCTGCTCGCGGCGCTCCGGTCCTCGTGTGAACTCCGGAGCAATCCGGAGAATTTCGGGCCCCCGTAGAGCTCGGACCTCACAGTACCGGTACAGCGTACAGACTAGCCGAGTCCCGTCGCAGTAATGAGGCGGTAATGAGGTTATTGAGTAGCGAGGGTATTGGGGTTGACATTTGTAGTCAATTTTCAGTTACGGCGATTGAGCCCGCCGAGCGAAGGGAATGTGGTTGGGCTCTTAGGTATTTCACAAAATCCAACATGTTGCCAAAATGCAGATTCTGAATCAAGGCGATTTAGCCAAGCGGTCCAAGGCGCTAGGTTCAGGTCATAACACACCTCCTAGTCTCGATTTTCGGGGCGTGGGTTCGAATCCCACAGTCGTCAACTTTTTGCGGGCCTGCTAGCTGCATTTCCGGCGAGAAAAAAAAAAATAAACTGCGGAAACGTAATCCGCCACATTACTAGCCCAGAATTTTGGGGTTCTTGTGTTTGCTCGGAGAACAGACCAATATTCGCGCGCTTGGTCAGCCCAACCGCTACCTCCACAGCCAGACTTCCTCCCCGGACGGTACAAGTCGCGCCCCTTGATAACCCCCCTTGTAAATTTATACCACGGGTCATTCGATCGACACACCATACCAACAATACTTGACGCCCCAAATGCCCTCATCTCTACATCGCTGTTGCGTCGTGAACTGGACTTGGCGTGATTGCGCGGTAATCCCCTTCCCCTTGAGCCTATCTGTACCGTGGGCCATTCTCCAATCACTATCAACGACGAAGCCCATTTCTAACGGCTGAAGCCCGTGCTACGACGGTAGATTGTACGGCATTACTCAACCCTTGGGCCGAGCACAGCACATGAAAGACTTGCGGAACCTGTCCTGGGAACATTTTCTTTGTCCCGCTCGGCTTTCCCGTTCTTGATTTCCTATGTACCTCAAAGCTATGCGGCTGGAATTTACAAGAGGCTGCGCTTTTCACTCTGAGTGGCGACGTACCATACTTTGGGCGGTTCTCTGATGTCCTTCTGTTGGAATACTAGGGGTCTCCAACACATTCCGGCGCGCTTGTCAGACGAATATAGCCAAATGTAGAATAGTTGCCATTCCAGAGGCGGCCCCGTCTGCTCTTAGGCTCGCTGTGCCCTCCACCCTGATATTCGCCCGCTGCCCAAGTCTGCCCTTTGCCCAAAGCTATATCAATCGTCACGTATATATAATTCAATGGACCTTGAGATATCTTAGCCCCACCTCCCTAGCTGACTATGTCATACCTCGCTCCTTTCACTGTCACCACTGCTCCCGATGGCCGTCCCCTCACCAATCTTGGCATAGAGGGATATGGTAGCCCTTGGAACTTCCGACGCTTGACTGAGCCTGAACTCACACAAGAGCTTCACCGACATGCGAACGCGAAATCATCGAATGTTTCCGGGCTGCGTGTTGACAGTGTCTGGTTTCAACCGGCTAAAGGCGAGGAGAATGCTTCCCAGGATCGTATCTATGCTGGGCCTTGCGAAGTAGCAGGCGAAAAATGGTCGCTTGTGGCAGTTTTTGATGGTATGCACACCAATATTCCTATCACACGAGCGTGCAATAATGGTTTTGTAGGGCATGCCGGCGAGG